TTACTCCTTGAGTTGTTCTTGAAAATGCCACCATATTGCTGAAGTTGTTGAAGCTGAAAAATGTACATGCCAGAAATTGTTGGTTACCCACATGGAAAAGTATATATAAATTTAAAACAACTGGCAAAGCTAGTAACAATAACAATCGCAAAAAGGACTCAATGTCATATATAGTATAATAAGCAATATTTTACCGAAGCCAATATGTACGATTTTAAAATATGTGCTCGAATTTACTATAGAAGAAAATATTCACAAAACAAAACATTTAAATTTAATTATTTAATTAATTTTTGAAAATTAACTTATTTGAGGAATTCTTATATAGTTAATTAATGTGGATTTATATGAAATTATATTATGTAAATATAAGGATGATAATTATATATTATATATATATAATATATATATTATGTATTATATACATATCCGAAGAAATTCTCTAACAAATGGGACTAAATTCTTATTGCAAAATATTGTTTCCAATATAAAGGTTTTTATCGAACAGTACTGAATGGTAAGAACAAAAATTTTTTATTATTTTTTAAGTAATTGAACTTTTCGTTGACCATACGGCGTTATGGTCAGAAAATATTTTGTAATCAAATATTCTTTGCTACACTTTATTCTGAAGTGTAGTTGTAATTCTGCGTTGCTGAACTAAAATCTGCAATTCATGCTGCTGGTCGACATTTGAGGCTTTGACAATAACGGATTAATCCAAAAACCAAAAATTAATCTAAAAATTGTAGTTCTTAAGCATTCAAATAATTTCTATCTGGAGATATGATTCACTATAATATTAAAGATAATCAAAGAATTTAGAGAGACAATTGACTATCTAGATATATATTAAAGGGACTTAAAAGCAAGCGGTTTGGTCCATTTTGGCGCTGCTTTAGATGTATATCTAGGGTTACCGTCTTATATTCCCCTAGGAATCGTTAAGAGTAGTACTTTTTTCTACCATCTTCAGCTTGTCAATAACAATTGGTAGATACTTAAGTCATGTGTAACTTTCTGTTAAACATAACCCTCATATAATGAGACCATATTTACAAAACTAGTGTATAGTACTACACTGTATAGTGTACTAGTGTATAAAAAACCAAACGGATACACAACACCTTACTTTATTACTCATTATTGTGTAAAATTAAAACCGATAGTTTATAGTATAATTATGAAAACTTATAGGAAAATAAACTGATAATAATCATCTTCTCTATAAACGCACGGCTCTGGTTTCCAGAAGAAATAGGTTGTTGAGGAAGTCCTTATATAACATTTTGTCAAACTGTTTATCGGTAAGGACGAAAGATCTATTAAATTATTTAAATTCAATTGAACGAATTAAATTGTTGTCGTTTTATATCTTAAGGTACTTGTGAGGAATGGGGCAGTATAAATGTGAAAAATACCTAATTGTGGTCAGCGGAAAGCAACTGTAACCAAACAACCCAGAGATTTGAATTAAGTGTCTTTAGTAAACTTACTACGAATGAATGTATAACATGTGAATGTATGTCTTCTTTTAAAATTAGTAGATTTTTAAATAGTAGGAATAAAATTGATATTATTTTGGATCAAAAAGTCCACTTAATTGTTGATTATAAATTTCTTAGAATTTGGAAGAATATATACTCAATGTGCTATTGTTTTGAATGACTGTATGTGAGCATTTTTCAGACAACTTCAACAACAAATGTTGTAAGTTCAATTTTTATCTCAATTTGAAATCCTTTTAAATTGAAATTATTTAAACTTTCAATTCGATTACAAAATAATCGAGCTTTTAGAGTTTTTTGTAGAATTAGTCTTAATACCATTTAAGTCATTGAAATTTATTATAAAATCATATAATCTGATTTTTAATATGATTTGAGTAGTAAATCATTTTAATTTACTCTTTTTCGTAATTAGTTT